CCTTAGAGATATGTTCTAGTTTAATTTATAGACTTTTGATTTCTAAGATAATGTTTAAATAATTATTTTCCTTGCATGCAAATTTGGTAAGTTGGAGATCTACTTTTATGAAATAAAATTGTACACTGTGTTATTTGTTTAGTAGAGACTATAGTACCTGTTAATAACGGGAAAAACATTTATTGATTTTTTTTCTTTAATTAACCTTTCTTTTATCTTTTTAGATTGAGAAAGGAGAACATTTCTTACAGCCACAGCTTGCACTGCAAATCTCATTTCCAAAGAATATTTCAGATGAAAACCAAATCCTTTACTTCACCAGGATATCATATTCAGAGGTAAATAGGCAATATATAAACAGACACTGCTCTGCAGTTCAAAATTAGACTTTGATTTCCACAACACAGGTCTTTGAATGAGTAAATGTTCCATGTGTTTCTTTCCATTGGTATTTATATGGGGGGAAATGGACTCTGCTTGGCTATTATAATAAATCAGATAAAATATGAAATGTTCTCTGGAATTATCTTCTAAAAAATCTTTGATTTATCTAATGTTATAATTTAGGTAAACAATTTGTCTCCTTCTCTATATAGTCTAAATCCAAAGAGATACATTATCTATATCAATAAGACATAACCATGGAAAACATGTGCCATGATACAAATCACTATTTGCCTTTAGTTTCCAGCATGGTTTGCCACATCAAAGAGGCTTCAGCAAACTGACTCCATCCAGTTATGTCAAACTACTATCATTGCAAGAAAAGAGATCTGCTGAACCTACTGATTGAGAATTATGGGTGTCATGTCTGGAATAATTGGATATATAACCTGGATGAAAGGAAAGGAAAGGAAAGGAAAGGAAAGGAAAGGAAAGGAAAGGAAAGGAAAGGAAAGGAAAGGAAAGGAATCCCTGCAAATTTTACTTCACTAGTCATTGATGACTATAGGGGGCAGCACTGTTCTTCAATTCAAGGCCATGAGCCAGCACTATCCAAAGACATTTCCATAGTCATGTGGCCCGCATGATGTCCTGGACTGCTGTTATCTTGCCACCGAAGTGGTACCTATTTATCTACTCATCCTTGCATGCTTTTGAACATGCAAGGTGGGCAGGAGCTAGGCAAGGACAGACACTCACCCCGTCGCAAAATGTGCACGTCTCGAATGCTTGGATCTTGGTCTCAAACCAAGATCCAAGTAAGGAGTTGTGGTATAATAATTAGATATTGAATTGAGGAAATAGGAATACAAACCACTTTGGCATTTGAGAGAGCCAAAAAGCTATAGTAATGAAGGTGTCAACCTGGCAGATAAGGAACCCAGGTTCAACATGGAGCTCACTGGATAATGGGCTCAGTCATTACCTTTCAGTCCAAACTACTTAACAGTGATAAAAAAAAAATAAAGGACATCCCTCAATGTGCACAAACGTCAACTCCAAGAAAAAAAAAAGTATGAATATAACAACTGAAAAAACTGAAATATTTCTGATATATTTTAATTTTGGCCAAGTTTTAAACTTTGTTTTAAAGTTACATATTATGCTCAATTTATCCTTTTGTATACTTTATATAAAGCTTTCTTATTAATTGCAAAATTAAATATATAAAGCACCAGAAATTGTGATGCTAAAAGAAAACAATAATTGCTAAAGTAGCCCAAAGCTGCTAGCAGAGGTTAAGAATTTGTGTACTCTGATCTGTAAAAATGAAGGTAGAGGGAACTAGTGATTTGTTCTCCCCCACAGCTCCTGTGTTTCTCAGTATTTTGATTGGCCTTCTGGCTCATTAGAAAAAGTGACTCTGAGAACAGCTGGAGGGCAGTAACTTTGGTGACAATCACCCTTTTTTCTAGCAGTTAAAGCATTCTGGCCAGAAAATAGTCAGGTGATATTATCTTTGGGAAAGACTTAGAGTTCTCTGTTAAAATTATTGCAAGATACTTATACAATTACATTTTTCTTTTTGTGATAGAATGCAAAATGCCAATCCAGCCACCCAAATGATTTGTTAAAGATTGATATGGGCAATCCATTCACAACATCAAGAATACAAGAACCTCTAAAAGATCCCAACATAGTATGTATACCTGATTTTATGGGTTTTTTAAATAGTTAATAATACATTTTAGTGTACAACATTAAGTTGGGATTGAATTGTGATCATATGAATATAATCATATGTATATTTTTATCTTTCTAAGAGCAATTATATGCAACTATAATATTCTTATTGCCAGAAATGTAATTGGAAATAATGTTTTTAAATCTATAACACAGACTTTTAAAATGTTTAGCTTTGGAAATTTGATTTTCACCATCTCTCCACATGAGGAGATTAAAAAATAACTTTCAGTCAATGTCCATAATGGTGTTTCAGTCAATCATCAATTAGAACAATTACCTATCATGAAAATATTGGTAGATGCCTGTTAATAAGGCTGCCATGTGATATTTTCACTGTCAGAGAAAAATAATTCACTCTAAGAGTGCCCCTTCCTGGACCTGAAGGTACTGTTCATGCCTCTGGATTTTTGCAATCTGCCCTTGACCATCCAAAATCTACAAAGGAATAGTGTAAGCATCTTGTATGCCCATGTTACACTGCTTTTCCATTAGTTGCAATGCTTCTGGGTTCAATTTAAGATGCTGGTTGTCACCTACAAAGTCCTTCATGTCATGGAACCAGATTATGTACAGTAGTGATTTTGGGTGGTGGTCCCAACAATGAAGACCTGGATGTTTTCCAAGGCCTAGGTATTGGGAGGCTAGGATTGGAAGGTTAAATCAGTTTTTCTCAACCTCAACAACTTTAAGATGTGTGGAGTTCAACTGTCGTCATTCTTTGGCCAGCATGGGAAATCATCTTAAGATTGTTAAGGTTGAGAAACAATGGGTTATATGGCCCGTTGAGTATTGTTTGTTATTTGTTTTGTTTCGGTTTATCCTCAGTAACCATTGTAGTTTTTCTTCTTTGCTAATATTTCTTCTAATTGTTTTAATATGTTGTAAGTGGCACCCAAAGGCACATTCACCAGATGTGTAGCCCTATATATTGATTAAACACATAACATTAGTAGAATGATCCTTACTAGGTTTAGAAACAGATTTTTATTTTATTTATTATAGCTTGCAGTGAGGGCCTTCCTGAATGCAAAATGATGAGTTTTCTGAACACTGAATGAACTTTACTGGTGTCACCATTGTTATTATCAGGACATTTCATATTTATTTCAGCATGACATAGAGAATGTGTCACGTTATCTAAAATTTTGCTATTTTGGGTAGTTATAGTTTGCAAATATATTAATGAGATGT